TTACGGTATTAATGAATTTTAATAGAATAAAGAAAATTGTGTTTCTCTCGTGTTTGTCAGTGGAAGTGAGAAATATTATAGTTTTGGTTAGTACAGGGGATGAAAACGATTACGATATCGATTCTGGCCTCGAAAACAGTCATGCTTTGTATATTAATCAAACATATCAAAAATTCCAGGTGTAATTGAATAGTAGCAGATGTATTAAAAAATCTAAAATAAAAAAATATAAAATAATATAAAAATGGAAATAGTCGATAAAAGATGAATGAGAACTGTATTCAAGGTTTAAAGAAAGTAACAAATAATTAGTAAAATAATCAGTAATAGCACGTTAATTATAAGTTTAAATTAATAACAAAATTGTAGAAGACGATAAGCGATAATTATGTTCGAAATTAATAAACAAAGAGCATTATTAACTCATTAATATCTGTCTATTAGAACATACATATTCAGGATCGATAAATGTATTATAATCAATATTATAATCATTTCAGAACCATTACGAAACCATTAAGATAATATTATTCGAAACCGAAACAGGTGTAAGACTTTAACAGGATCTTTTTCACTCGTAACTGTTTATTAGGGTTACTTCGGCTCTTCAAAGTTTTCGTACAACAGTTATTAATAGTTATTAATCATTTGCAATATGGAGAAATATAGAAGAATCATTGTTGCATTCGATGAACATATTGAAACTTTTTCAAAATATTAACACATTGGTTGTCAGGCGAAAATAAATATGGTAAGAAATATTTAACTGTTATAAAATATCGAAGTAAAACTTTTGTTTTTCATGATATTATATAGTTACGTATGATATTGAAAATTCTCTTAGTGACGATATTTTTGATCATTCTAAAATGTTTCTATGTGTTTCAATGAATTTCATTTCAAACGTCAGTTGCATGGTGTGATTATTTATGCCCCACTCTATAATAACGAATTTATTACTTAACTTTTATTTATAATAACGAATTTATTATTTAATTTTCTCTATAATAACGAATTTATTACTTAATTTTTATTTATTATTCAATTTAGTTATCTATAATAACGAAAATATTACTTTCTTTTCATCTTAAGAAATATTTTTATGTTTAATAATTAATCCCTTTTTTAATATTAATTTTAATGTTTAATAATTAATCCCTTTTTTAATATTAAAAAAAAAAAAACAATTCCGCGCAGGTAGAGTTTCTCTTTCTCTTTAAAATTGCGTGTTGCTAACAGTTAAATGAGATAAGTGACGAACAGCAGTAAACATTGGGAAAGAACATTAATTTCCCCGGGATTTTATAATTTTCATTAGCAGTTCCGGCTCTCGGGAGCGTTTCCAGCCTTTTAGAACAAAGCACGCGAGAGAACGACGCCGGCTAAACCGTAGCCGACTGTGACTAATTATAAGAATTACTGTCGCCGAGCGGGACACAGAGGCGAAGGGGAGGGGAAGGAAAAACGAAAGAACGATACGTTTAATCTGTAAGCAAAGCGGGTACCAGTCCTGCAGTAGCACGGCAGGGGCGTGTCGAGCGCGGAGAAACAACGGCGCGGCACGTTTCGCAAGAGGGTTGGAGAGAGGGTGGCAAGAGGACCGAAAGCAAGAAACGCGGGACACGAATCGAGGAGATGGAAGAATAAAAAGGACCCGGTTCGCAGCCGAGGGAAGAAACGGGACGACGTTCTTCAACCCTAAATTGTCTTACCGACGAGCACGCGGCTAAAAATCAATGACATTTAAGAGTGCAGAGAGAATCGGCAGGAAGAGGGGGCGGGTGACTCGCGCAAAAAGATACGGCGATCCTGCGAACCGAGATGGAGAAGCGGCCTTTTATTTCGATGGAGAGCAACTCCGACGATCGTTTCTTCTGGCCGAGTTTCGTTGGCTACTTAGAAAAATCGTGGTCTACAAGTTAGAGGAGAGGGTTGGAGTTGGAACGAGGAGACAAATACGTGAGATGTGTATTAACACTAGAACTTAACTACCAGAATGGTCAAAATGACCATTTCGATATTTCTGTTAGATATTTTGTAGATACAAAAGGAAGATATATTTTTAGAGACTCGAACGACATTTCGTAAAATAATAAACTTGTGTACCCTATTTATAAGTGTTATGAAGATCTACTGTTCCTTTTACTTTAATATTTCTGATGGAAATTTCACGATTTAGTCGTCGGTAATTCTAGTGTTAACACTAGAAATACCGACGTTTCGACGAAGCAAAGTTCTACCAAAATGACTGACTTTTAAAAAATACGTGTATATAATATTATAATATTATTACGTTAACTATTATAGTGGTTATTATTATAATCGTATTATTATATTTATTATAGTTGCCATTATATAGTGGTTATAATTCCATAACTTTAGATTCCTTTTGTAAGATAGTAATAAATTAATAAATATAAAATATTCTATTATTTTATTATATTAATATTATAATATTATATATTTAATATATTTATTATAATAATATTATAATATAATAAAATAATAGAATATTATAGTAATGTTATAATATTATAATATAATAAAATAATAGAATATTATAATAATGTTATAATATTATAATATAATAAAATAATAGAATATTTTATATTTATTAATTTATTACTATCTTACAAAAGGAATCTAAAGTTATGGAATTATAACCACTGTATAATGACAACTATAATAAATATAATAATATGATTATAATAATAACCATTATAATAGTAAACGACGTTATCAATGGGGGCAGATGGCTCCAATGGTAAAAAGATCTTTCCATCGAACTATCATTGCGATAAAAAAAATTATCCATAGGTAATTAATGGTGAATGATGATATCGAATAAGATCTATGTTAACGTGAGTTAACCGTGTAGCATTAGATTGTTTTATATGTAATATTGCAAATATTTCGTCGGGAATTGATGTGAAATAGAGAGAAGAGACGGAGTATTTTATGCGTTTGGAACTTGGAAGAAGTATAACTTTAAACTGCGTTGGAATGTAGAGAGTACCCCATTCAATTGGATACTTTGTAGTAGGAAAGGTTTCAATGAATATTCGAATGAACGCTCTTCAGTGAAAGTTTTCTTCGAACACCTAGCACTCTTTGCATTGGGATTTTGTACAATTCCAATACAAACTCGTACAAAATCCGTACGATACATTCCTTTCATTCAAGGGAAGATAAATCTCGTTACTCGACGTGTACTGTTTCTACTTTGAATATTTTTAACGATTTTAATAGGTGTTGAAAGATAATAGTGAATACCATTGAAAAAACAAACGAACCTTTGTCAAGAAATTCAAAGTTTTAGATGCACAATGACTTCAACGATGTGTGAACGTACTGAATGAAAAATATATAGGAGGCAAATGTATCCACCGAAGAAACAAAAATTCGCGCATTTTTTTTTAAACAAAAGCTCTTGGTTCGTCCCAAAAGATAAAAATAAGTCGAAGAACGCGTTGTTTAGGGGGTCATTTGTTCCACTATGCGACGTAGCGTCGCGCGGCAACGATGCCAGACGAAATTACTGCTAGAAGAAAAACGAGGGTAGCGCAGAGAGAGAGAGAGAGAGAGAGACTGAGAGAGAAAAAAAAGAAACGAGAGAGGAAAGGTCGTAACGAAATGGCACGCGACGAGGCCTGAAGCCCCGGACTGAAGCGACTAAACGAAGCACTCGTTCGGCCTGGCGTCTCTCGACGAGTTCCGCTTTAAAGATAACGAAGCGAGTTCTTCGCGAAATAAAGGTAAGGTAACCGCCGCGGCACCTGTCGAGTGTTTGTCGAGACTGTCTCCGGTAGGTCAACGGGAGCGACAGGTGGCTTCGTTCTCTTTTCCCTCTTTCCAACCCTGGTGTGACCCTTCCTCCCACCCTCCTCGAACATTCTGTCTCGCGACACTCTGCGTCTACCTTCCTCGCGCGTGTTACCCTCATCCGTCTTTTCCCTCCTCGTCCCCATAGCTCCCGTCACTCGCTCGCGGGTGTGATTTAAAGTGTAAACTTAAATATTCCAGTCGGCGCCGCCGTGCAAATAGATTCGATATTAATGGAGCTTCCGCGCCTCGGAAAGCCGGGCCACGGAAAGTCGGGCGTGAGGAAATTCCGCGCGAACGATTCACACCCGGAGGAAAATCGGGGTTCGCTTCTGGAATTTTCTGCACTTGTGTAGCACGCGGGAAGATACGTGGCTGGCTGATCCTCCGTGGACACCAGGGAGGATGGTTCCAGACACCGAACACCCTTGGGAATACCCGAGAGGTTCTTTGCATCCGTTGAAACTCTCGCGAGACCTCTTTAAAAATATACTTACCTGAATCTCCTTTCCACGCGTGGAGAATGGTATTCGTTCTTCCGCGATTATAGTCTCTCTTCAAACTGCACCCTTATAAGGTGAGATTTCTTATAAGCGTCAGATGTATCGATGTTATAGAGAGAAGTATGTTCCTATTTTTTGTTTTTTATTTGTGACTTTCTTCTCTTGAAACTCTCACCTTATAAATCTGTCCCGTTTTATGAAACAGATATCTTAAATCTCGTCTGTTTTATATTTATAATTGGAAGATTGGCCAGTCTTGTTTCACAGTAAAGTATAATTAATTAAAGTATATAAAAAGAAAGATTTCAATTTTTAAGTATATAAAGTATACAAAAGAAGACTAATTTTTAAGACTTCAGTAAAGATAAGAAACCAGAAGAAAGCAGAATGTCAAATTCATTAAATAAACCGTAATTACACAATTATATCATTCGCAATAGTATCTCCGATAATTCACGAATTTTACGAATTCTTTCAAATACATAAGATGAAAAAAACGGCGTTGCAATCGATCATAACGATTGCAACAAAATTTTAATACAACCGAACCGTAAAACAAACTACAGGCTAACAAATTTACTCTAATGACACGATTCAAGTTAACGTTTCGTTACTCGATCGTCGATCAAGAACGAGGACAACAGCGGGGAATGGTGGAATGAAAAACGCGGCTGGTTAGAGAAAAATAAAGGAAGCTTTATTCTTTACATACCATAGCAGGCGATACCGAGTCGATAGCGCGTCAATGTCCCCGGACGCTTTTTTTGCCCGGCGACGTTGGCGTGCCGGTCAACGGATTACAAACGAATATCGGGAGGAAGATCGGGGTGACGTGGGGGGTTCGGGGAATACGGCGAGTCGTTGGTGGTGGATCCTTCCTGGGGGTCGTATCGTACACACGCTCGTTTCCACACGTTCGAGTCGAGGCGGCGGCCGCGTGACTCGCGGAGGTCACGCGAGAATCGCCGCCAGTTTGTGCAGGTTCATGATGGTGGTCGCGTCGCCGGGCTGCAGCCTCAACGCCTCGCTGTAAGCGGCCGCCGCTTGCTTGTATTTGCCATTCAGGTGAAGAATCGCGCCGAGGTTCGTGTGACTTCGCGCCTCGTGCGGCCTCAGGCTGGCCGCGTGCCTGTACCACACCTCCGCGTCGTCCAGCCGGTCCGCTTGCCGCAGCGCGGACGCCGCCGCCATCGACAGCTCGTAATCGGATCTGGAAAGTTCGGCGGCCCGTAGTTGCTCCTCCGCCGCCTCCGATAGCCGACCCTGCGACGTCAGGAACAGTCCTGCGAAGCCACACAAGAGACCGTCTCAAACTTATATTATATACCATAGCTAGCACGCGGGCGATGTTGCGCCACGGTGAGAATTTTGCCCCCTGGAGAATTAGCTTCCAGTTTCCAAGCTTTTGTAGTAGGATTATTAATTTGACAAGAGTCATCGACTTCACGTTTATCGATCACGAGGTTATTACGTCGCGACCGGTGTTTCGTGAAGATTTTTGTTTGCGAGTCGTCGTTTATTCGAAAAATTACGGTCAAAAGTGAAGTCAAATGAAGGTATGACTTTATGTCTGTGTATGTTCGTGTGCGTGTGAGTACGAATGGGGAGAGATATTGAGATGGAGGTTGAGTTTGGGACGCTAATGGTAAGCTGTGATGGTCGAGAGTTGGTAGAGAATCGGATGGATCCTCGACGGGTCGATAGTCGTTGCAACTTCTCTGACACGTAATGGTGTATCTATTGTTTATTATTTATTGTAATAAGAAAATATAGAAGAAGATAATTCAACGAAACATTAGACAGACATTATTTGAAAAACACTATATTGTATTATTTTATTAATATCAGTTTAAAAAAGATTAAAACTAAAATATCTGTCAAACTAACGGTTTCTTCAAACAAAAATTATGGGTCCATTTTTAGAAAACTAAGTTGACTTTCGCATGTTCCTTACAAACCAACTATCTCAAATTATTTTTGAAATTATTCGAGATCCCTGTTTGAAACAGTTCTAGAAATAATGCAGATTGCATCATAATTGCATTTACAACTTCAAATGGAACAATAGTCCCTCTTTTCTTCTCCGCACTGCAAGCATTTTTTCAATTGCTTATCTCTTGAAATTGATATTCATTCTCTACGTAACAACAAATAACAAAATATCACGTACGTAAATTATTAATATCAACTCGTACGTGTAATATCATAATATTTAATAAAACTTGTAATTAAATTCCATCCAGAGTCACTTTATTAAAAACGTATAAAACGTTTATTGAAAATCGCGAGTCGTTTCAATTCAATGGCCAGAAACTATATATTAAAACTCCTTAGGAGAATATCTAACGGGACATAAATCAATGATGAATTTTGCAACCATCGAAGGCTGAGCTTTTCAGATTAATATCACACGAAGCTTAAACTTCCAGAAAGCTCATAGATTCATTCCGTGAGTAATACGCCACTGTCATCGACATACGTGACATAATCGTTTATAATCGTCATCGATGTACAATTCAGACGGAACAAGTCCCCAAGTTTTAGGATCGAGAAATTCACTCACTAGCTGGCGACTGGTTCGCGGACCATAACGAGTGACCGAACCGTATACAATGATTCGTCGCTTTCTTTTTCTTTTGAACTCGTCGGTGATGATACCACTGGATAGAAATTATTAAGAAGCAATAGATTTATCATTTGTTTCGCCTGGATTACATTTAAATATATTTAAAGCTGAGAAAATGTTGCAATTTTGGACGAAAAGTTCTCGACGTGCGTGGCACGTCATTCCAGCGCAAAAGGTTAACGCATAATCCACACGACGTACAGATAGAGCGAAGAATAACGTCACCGTTCAGTCCTTTCAATTCGTTCATTTTCAATTAGTTTAGTTTCTGGTCACTTTTATTGGACGTTTAAACGTTTGAGGTTAGAGCCGCGGCTCGAGGTCTCCAAGGACTTATTTCAACGACTAGCATAAAGTATACGGTCAAGGTTGCCAGTAGAAGAGTGCTCTCAAAATTCGGTCTTGGCGTGCGACAAACCGCTATAAATTCAACCAGTGATATATAACGGGACCGTTCCGCGGACTACTGCCTAATGACGCGTGCCACTGAGAGAGATAAACCGCGCCTGAACTTTTTGCTCGAAAGAGCTGAAAAATCCGGCTGCGACGCGCGACTCTTTTTCGCGAGTAGACTAATCTTGCACCGCAAAGGATTGGTCGATCGATGACCGCCGGCCACTCACTCGCTCGTACGAATGGGAAGAGCAGATGAGCATGAAAGAGAAGCTGGAAAAACGAACCGGGGGAGAGTTGGCAAGGATTAAGATTCAGGAACGACGTGAGTGTGACGAGAAAGACTAAGTCTGACTGTAAAATAGAAATACTCCTGTTTATAAATATTAGAATTCTTCCTGGTTGTTTTATGCATATTTCTGTGCGTTATATTGATATTACAGATATTAAAGGAAATTTCTCAATTTTTTTTCTTGGTATAATGTATATGCGTGTACGTGTGTATATTAAAAACAGATTGTTTAATTGCAATCGTCCTAAAAAATAATATCAGTTATCGGTGAGTATAGCAATGAACTACTGGAATTAATTAAGGTATAGATTTTTATCATTATGTTAAAATAGATTTAACATAACATATCTTAGTACATTTAGTATACATCTGGTACAATAATAAAAGTATCATTATACTAAATATGTTATATTATATTTAATAATAATTTTTAATTTTCAGTTTAATATATTTAGTTTTTTTTTTAATTTAATATTATATTAGTTAATTTTTAGTTTAATATACTAAATATATTATATTTTTATAATTTTTATAATATATTGGTTTTCTATGATCTCTACTTATCTTTCTTTGCACGAGTCTTAAATTAGATATTATAAATTCTTAAACATTTTCTAATCATTTCTGAAAATGTCCTAACACTTATGAACGAGCGTAATATTTGATACTTGATCACGACTTATAAATTAATAAAATTGTAGAAAATTTCAACGCGACAACAGATCGGGGTTCACACTTGCACAACAAATACTCAGTCGATAATGACAATTGTCCCTAGTTGAGATTTCCTGGAGGAGGACTCTTTCCCGTAGATTTCAATACCCGTCGATCTCTTCCGGCCGCTGGCTCCCCTTTAATATCCGCTACTCCCTCGTGACCGTCTCCTTTTTCCCCCGATTATCCTGCTCCCTCGTTGTCACCCCCAACCCACCCGACTCTAGCCGCAGTATCTACTTTCATCTCGCAGGAAAATATTATACGAAGGTATTTAGAACGACCCGACGGAATCTCGCGATCCTCTTATCTTCCTCTATAAAACGGTCCCGTGAAAAATATCCCGGCGAACTCGTCCCTTATCGTCGAGCGTCCCCTCGACACTATCCGCGGTCTCCGCGGTCTGTTTCCCTTGTCCCAACGTGGATGAGAGGAACTGTTAATGTCCTCGCCCTGTGTACCGTCTAGTCGTGGAATTAATTATACCCGGAGCCGAACAACCAAGGCCAAAGGACGAATCTGTCGTACCACCGCTTCAATTTTCCTCGGCAACGACGCTCGGATCTCGGTGTTTCGCACCTTTAATTATTAACGAGTATCTCTCATTGTTTCACGAACGATTGTACCGGGACGCTTTCTCTCGGAGCGATTGGCAAGAAGAAAGGAACGATGTTTGACGACGTTCGATTATCCAACGATCCGTTTTTAACGTGAACGATCCGAGTACACTTCTTACCGTTCTGACCATGATTTTTTTTTATAGGGGTGATGCTTCGAGTACTAAAAAGTTAGTTGTATATAAACTTGTATTCTGTACTAGTTCTCGAGTTGGAGAAAATGTTCAATCTGTCTGTGTTTTGCTCGAGTACATCTATTTCAGATCGTGGTACGTTTGAATTTGATTTAGGATGAATCAACGATATCCATCGGTGCGAGTTAAACGAACCATTGATGCACGGTGCAATTTAAATTACGTTACGCATTTAGCAATTATAATGATACATTGAACATTTACTTTAGTCGTCTGTTAGTTGAAAACCAAGGTATATAAAACGTATGTACATACATATATACGCATGAACCTCGAATTTTTCTTGCATTATTATTGTATTATACGACTCATTGTTGGAAATTACTACTGACATTAGTCTTATGTGTGAACCATCTATGGAAATTTTATCATTTGTTCCCACGATAGATGAATCCCTACACCTTCGATTTGATGGAAAATTGATTTGCCGCAAAATTGATCTTAACCTTGAATTTCAAGGTCAAACGAAATTTCTTTTCTTACATTTATATTCTATTCATCACGAAGGTTCTAACAGCGACTTTATCGTTCTGGACATGTGGACGTGATATTTATATTTTGAATAACGTTAACAGTTAATTTTATCATTTGTATTACAACTATGTTACATGTAATAAATCAGACGTTAGTGAAATACGTAAGTTGGACATCCACGCGTTCAGAACCATAAAGTCGCTGTTAGCACCCGTTCGCAGTGTTAAACGATTAAGAAACGTTTCTGTCACTTTTCAAAACAACTATTAGGTTGCGACATTGAAAAAGTTTCACCTTCATGACGAGCAGAATACAATGCAAAAAAAAAAAAAACAAAAAGAAAAAAGAAAATTTCTTTTCATCTTCGATGTGTATTTGACAACTTTTCTCTCCACCCTGTACACGAACAGAATATGCTGTACTGAAAGCAAAAAGAGAGAGCAGAAACTGTTAATGCGCGTGTACGTGTGTACTCTGCATCTGTGTCACGTGTACACGCGTGTAATTTATTGTTCAATTGCAATCAGATCTGTCAATAGCCAACAGTATCTATTGAATTGTGATATCGATTTCGCGTCGTCTAGACCGGGGAGGGAGGGCAGCTGCGTTGAAGTCAACGTGTTAATTAAAGGCTAGCGGGCAATTATACCGTACCGTAATGGTGGTGCACGCTCGAGTCGTCCGGCGCCAACCGACGGGCTCTCAGGAACCATCTCTCGGCCTCCAGCACACGGCTCGACTGCGGAAGAAACCAGGCAAATTAGTAATCGGAAGTTAGTTCGATCGGCGGCCGCCATTGTCGACGCGGTCTACCAATTCACGGATCGTCGAGTTGTAAAGAAATTTATCGGGACGCGATCACGGGGGCACGAGGTGAAACGGGGGGGACAGAGGATTTCGGTTTCGCCTCGGCGCGGGCAGGCAGGGCGTAAAAGATGGAAATGGAATTTCGATACGCCTCGGCCAACACGGCCGAAAATTCATCGGCGGCGCGACACGACGCCGACATTTATCGGTCAAACGTTCAATTACGCTCGGGCATCGTTTACCGGTATTGACTTTCCATTGACCTTTCCGGTCGCCGCGTGACACACATCGTAATTCACTTCCGGAAACTAGCGCGCGAGAAGCGATACACAGCAAGGAAGACGACGTTGATCTTGCGAAAATGGAGAAAGTTACGAAAAGAAGAATCGAAATGAATGGATTTTTAATTTGAGTAATATTATTTGTACATGCGGTCGAAATTATGATTCTGAGTACACACGTACGAAAATATTCGAACGGTTGCAGGATCGTTTTATGAATGTATTATGTAAAGTATCATGTAATGTTCAGAACTTTGTGATTAACAATATTTATTATTAGTTAAATTATTTGTTATTCATTATTTTTATTAACAATATTTATTATTATTGGTTAAAGTTTGAATCCTGCTAAATTCAATATGAGCTGTGATTCGTCAGTTTTATTATAAAAAGTTAGGTAAACGCTGAAACCGAGTACATTTTTACAACACTCGAAATTTCGATTTAACAAAGTAAGTTGGCCGTGGTACCAATATAAGCCATAAAAGAGAGTACACAATTTGCCATTCGTGTGAAAAATTTGATGTAGAAAATATAAATAGGAACAATGAACCACAAAATTATTAACAATAATTGACAATTAAGTAAAAATTATAAAATTATTTAAAACAGACAAGATATATCGAATCATGGGAATTGAAATTTGAGTAATGTTACTTTTAAGAAAGCTTCAAGAATGCAATTTTTGCAAGAATCTAATATTTTATCATGTTATTTTCTTTAGTTTCAGAGATATACACAAATATATGTTTTAGAGTTTGAGTTAAATTCATATTATTAATTTCACTCAGTCAAGCAATAAATAAAAACATAACCACAATTTATATGGAATTTTATAATACGCCATTATTAACGTTATTGGTCATAAAGTTCAAAAAAGAGAAAAAACACAATTATGAGGCCGTCGATAAAACAAAAGAATCAACATCGATGAAGCACGCTCTTTTTTATATTATTGCCACAACATTCACATATCCAGCTCGAATCATATTTTTAAACTATTGAAACCGAAATTGTAAGTGATCATTCTAATTTCTAATTTCCATTTTCCGCCTGTCAATTTCCAATTGATGATCGTTCGCGTGTACGATTCGCCATCGACGAATGGCCGATAAAAAAAAAAAAAAAGAAAAAAACAGGAAAAAAAAATGGGGGAAAAAATATTGAAACATTTCTATTCGAGTGACTCTCTGTTCCATATCGTCCGACGCGTTATTTACGCTAGCGATACGATATAATTTTATTACTACGCGACAGAGACGGGAACTAAATCAGCAAATTAAATGAAACTTTATCAACCGTGAAGCTATTTCATTTATGAGCAATCAATTTGAAGTTATTTCGCGAACGACAGGCACCGAGTGTAGGAAAGGACTAATGGAAAATTGGCAATTCGGTAATATTATCATGGCAAGCAATCAACTGTATTATACGTTACTGATAATGCGTAGCCCGCTGTTGCACAACTATATCGATCAGCGTGTAATGTAATCGTATCGAGTGACTATGCTCGCAACGTTGAAACACGGAGATGAACCTATTCGCTCGTGGATTTTAATGAAACATGTTTCAATTACTTCGCTTTGGCGTGCCAAGTAAAAAATAAATGGGAGCAGTCCCTGACCGTTGAATTAGGGTCGTTCATAATTTTACATGTTTTTAATGAAATTGTGTGGCTTGAAGGAAATTTAATTACAAATTCTATCAACCATTAATTACTGCATACATACGCACTGGTAATTAACATATTATTACACGTGATGTGTTATTATTTATTATACTTATTGTCGTGTTTGATGGACGTTTATAGTAGAGTGTCAATTAAAAAAGATATCGCTTGAAACGCTAGCAAAATATTACTTTTACTTTATACGAACACTATTTCTTACTATGTTACTATGATTTTTCAGTATATCAGATTGTTCAAAGGTTAGCACATCGTACATATTTAAAACCCATTTCTTCCCTCCTCGGCAAAATAACACGTTTCTTTCTTTTCCAAGTTTTGAAAGTGAAAATATCAGAGCTGAGCGAGATGAAATAAATCTCCCGTATACACGTGCAATCACGCGTATTATTGCACTAAATTTATCGATACAACCCGAAATCATTCCTCCAACGACATTGTACCACATCGTATAACGGATGATCTTCTTCACAAGATTATTATAACCGCGTTAATTGTTTCTCGTTACGTACCACGTGAATATATGTGAAAATCCACGAGGACCGAGATACGCGTTGGATCGATTAGTCCTCGTCACGTGTTCGTTATACGGAACGCTAATCGATCGTGAAAGCATCTGCGAAAAAGAGTGCTTTGTTTGGAGAACGAGACACGTGCAGAAACATCGGCGCGTCCCGAATCTCTCTCGGCTCAGTGAGCGTAATCGTCGGTCGTGTTAGATATGTTTTCAGGAGAAATACCGGTTTCCGGTCAACGATTGGCCAGCCCACGGAACACGGAACGGTCAGTGGATCGAGCCGAATCAGCTTAACTGCACGCTGTTTCCCGTCGGCGGGTTTCCCTTTAAGTGATGTGGGTCAGCCGATTCTCGGCCGGCCTATCGTCGTGTTCGATCCCTGCCAGCGTAGCGCCACGCCGCGCCGAAATAGTACTAACTACTTACGTGCCGAGTCGAAGGTTTGCTAAGTGATGTGGGTCGCTACGTGGCCAGACTCGCCGAGCGAGAGCCTGCAATCCCGGTTATCGGCTAACGTCGTTTATATCGTTTCATATTCGAGCTCGAGAGCTTTCGTCACGATTTATTCTCACTATTTCTCTCTCTCCCTCCCTCCCTCTCTCTCTCTCTCTCTCTCTCTCTCGTTTCTCTTTCGTTCTCATTTGACGTTAGAGTCCGAGAGCATGGATATTGCACGTTACTACGTAGATGATATCGAGTAAATATGCTCGCTGGAGAAAGCACGCGAATGTGAATGAATTAAGTATATGGGGAAGGGGAGAGTACCGAGAGAGGATTGTAAGTGGTTATTTGATAGCAGCGTGTGCTACGTTCGATGGCGGTGTGCGAGGAGTTCGATCGTTCAAATGTGAAGGGATTTTGGCACTGCGTGGAATCGACGAACGTTGGTGTGTTTTGCTTGTTCGAATGTGAATGAATTTGGGATTGTACGAATGTAAATAATTTGATCATGGTATTGTGTACATCACGAGGATGGTGTCGTATAAATTTGCTTGTTGCCAACTCCTTGCGTTGGCAACTGTGGTTCGCGGACCATAACGAGTGACCGAATCGTACACAATAATTTGTCGCTTTCTTTTTCCCTTGAACTCGTCGGTGATGATATCACTGGATAGAAATTACTAACAGGTAGTAAATTTGTTATTTGTTTTGCCTGGGTTATACTTAAATATACTTAAAACTGAGAAAAATATAGCAAAAAGTTCTCGACGTCATTCCAGTACAAGAGGTTAAATGCGAACGAATTTGGAACTATGTGGAATTGATTGTTTAAGTAATTTTATCTTGTCATCTTTTCAAAAGAAGTATTATGCTTTGAACATTTCATGCATCTTCGCATTTTTCCACAAATATTCCATAAACGTACAAAAATTCGCAGTATGTGTGTACGTTTGTTCAAATCGGAATGAATTTGATGATTCAGTGATAATATTACATATTAGGAGGAGGATGTCGTGTAAATTTGGTTATTTAAACGTGAACAAACATTTACGATCGTACGGATGTGACGATAATATCAGCGACGATATTGTATACCATGCACGTTGTTTGTTCAAACGTGAATGCATTTGGGACTATGTAGAACTGACGAATGTAAACGACGATCCAATGACAATATCACACGTGTAAATTCATAATACATGGTGTTCGTCCAGTCGCGAACGAATTTGGGATTGTACGAAATTGATGAACGTAAGTGATGATCCAATGATCATAATCCAATATGTTGTTTGTTCAAACGTGTACGGAACTGACAAATGTAAGTGGTGATTCGATGATGATATATTATGTGGACGGTGGCCGTGTAGAGCTTGTACGAATTACCATCCAAATGTGACTGAATTTGAGATTGTATACGACTGACGAACATAAGTAATGATCCGATGATGATATTACATGTTGCGTAAACCGTGCCAAGTACAGTTGTTTGCACGAGCGTGAATGAATTTTTGGACTGCGTGAAATTAACGAACATAAATGATGATGTTTCATTTCATTACGTTTTAATTTCGTTGCATCTGTTTAGGAAGGAAACAAAAATCTTTTACTATAGAAGTTGACATTGTATTTTGATCGATTTGCACTTTTTTAAAGAAATTACGTATTTTACACGCTATATCAATAAAAAATTTATTCTGAAACACATTTTACATTTCATGTTTCAGTTCATTACGTTTTAATTTCGTTGCATCTTTTTAGGAAGGAAACAAAAATCTTACTATAAAAGTTGACAATATTTTCATCGATTTGCATTTTTTTTAAAGAAATTACGTATTTTACACGCTATATCAATAAAAAATTTATTCTGAAATACATTTTACATTTCATGTTTCAGTTCATTACGTTTTAATTTCGTTGCATCTTTTTAGGAAGAAAACAAAAATCTTACTATAGAAGTTGACAGTATTTTCATCGATTTGCATTTTTTTTTTAAAGAAATTACGTATTTTACACGCTGTATCAATAAAAAATTTATCCTGAAATACATTTTACATTTCATGTTTCAGTTCATTGCGTTTTAATTTCGTTGCATCTTTTTAGGAAGGAAACAAAAATCTTACTATAGAAGTTGACAGTATTTTCATCGAT